GAGGGTGAGGGTTGGGATGTGGGAGGGTTAAAAAATGCCAAAACTGGAAACTAACAGGGCGTTCAACTCCTTTCGCGTGGATATCCAAGAACAGAGTTTCTGGGGTATCCATCCTTCAACTGATGTTACGCCTAAGCCTTCTTTTCTTCTTTTTACCTCATTTTATTACTCCTATCATTGACTCCATCTTTAAGATGACATAATATGTGTACCTGGGTGGAACTGAAGTAAAGAAAACAAAGGTCAGAGGTAGAGAGAACGATTTTTTTCAATGCATATCAGGACCTGTAAACACGCTGCAAAAACAAAACAACAAGAACAAGAAAACACAAAAAAGCAAAACAAAACAAAACAAAAGAAAATAACATAGAGAAAAAGTGCAAGAAATCCAGGCCTAAAATTGTTAACATATGTGGCATAAGCAACGTGTATTATGTTTCAGCAAAGCAGATTTTGAGAGGACTATTTATTACGTTTACAAAACATTATAGAGATTCTTCTATTAAAAAAAAATTATACGGTGAAACATAATGACAAACTAAATTTTATGCATTGTTCAGTGTAGGCTGGTGACTTTAAAAAAATTGCCAGTTACTCTGTCACTTGAAAATTGTATGGCCACAAACTAGTAATATCATGATTTGTTGCATGCATTTTGTTTTTGTAATTTCATATTTGACTCGGGCGGGGACGAGCTTTATTCGATATTTTAGCTTAACATAGTCACATCAGTTTCAATATTATTCAAATGAGTATTTCACATATATTTTAAATCAACCTGCTTTATCTTTAAGGGTGATATACCTCGAATGTTATACTGCATATTGACAACCCATTATTTTGACTCTCTCCTGAGAGCTGCATTTAATGAACAGTTGCATAATTACAGGCTATTCTATTTCAACGATTTTGGCTGATATTTGCTGGAGCTATTCAGATAATCCTCCCATCCAAGCACAATCATTGTCATCACCATTAACACTGTGAGGACGCAGCGAACACTATATTATTAAGCCCGACAGGCAATGTTGAGGCTCTTTTCGAATCAACACACATACATCAGAAACAAAAGTTTACTTTTTTCTCAACACACATGTTGTTGCCTGCCTTTTTAAGTTTCAGAACAAAAATGAAAACTAAACTGAAAGATATTTACGGATAATGAAGTTATGCTTGCTTTTTCTTTTTAAAGAGCCACATAATAGCGTGTCTTCAAATATTGTCGAATGACCATAATGTGCGTACTCTATGAGTTAACAATGATATCACCACCAAAAACGACAGCAAAGACAACAGATTGGACTCGGGCAAAAGTTAAGATAAACACACGAAAGGACAAACGACGCTAGCCGAAGATTTGAATGTATAGCGTTGAATTTCGAAGCACTCCACTTTTCCAGTAAAAGAATCAGCAAGCCTTTACTGCTAGGTCAAACTGTGGCGTCTGATCATGGTGTCTGGGATTGGAGTTGACCATCCAGCCCTATTACTATGCAAATTACTGAAATGGCTTTGACAAGAGGGTCAAAGAGGTCTGGGGGTGTAGCTGGAGGGTGATTGAGGACGGAAGCAGTAATGTCGTAGAATGACCAAACCAGACCACCGACCCCTGAAGCGCAATTTGTTACAGATTTGGCCAACACTCAAGAGTTGGAAATTCGAATCAGAACTTGGCCTAAGTTTTTGTAAACCTTTCATTTTTCTCACGTGAAAACAACTTATTTAACTCGACCTTTGAATGTACAAAATCCACTGATTACGGACAAATTGTCAAGGCAAACATAAATAAAGCAAACTCTTTAGCTTTTAGCGCGAGCTATGTTATCGTTGAAGAAGTTTTGTGACAAACACACATTACATGGTAGGATGATTCTACTTGCAGATTTTGCTCCTGGTCACCGCTCTCTCAATTCTACCTGAATGCTTTTTGGTCATTCTCATTCGTGAAGCGGAACGGCGCTGAAGCTTGAAGCCTGGGGTATTGTAAGAGATTGGATGCTGTTTTTTCATTTTTTCATTTTAGTTCTGTTCTTTACCCCTTATTTGCTTTGTCTGCCTTAAAAAAATCCTTGACGTAACGGAACGTGTCACCTTGCCTTTGAACTACTGCTGTCTTTTATTTCTTCTCATTTTACACTTGTCTCGTTTCATGCAATGCTTTCTAACATTTACTGAGTAAATAATGTTTACTATCGATCTGACAGCTATCTCTAAAGGAATCGTTCAGCCGACATTTCGCAAATGATCTAGGAATGATCCCCTGTCCGATCTGAATCAACGGTTTGTCACGTGATCATCCGAATATGTCTACTGACCGCTAGGGGGCGTAATGAAATCACTTCTGTTTGAGCTCACACTTATCCGAACTCATGCTACGCTGGGGAAGGTACACAGGGCGAGAACTCTAAAACTACTTCCGGGATCCCGCCTGACGCCATTTTGGTCTGGACACAGCCGGGGGCTAATGCAATCAGCTCTATTTGAAGTCAGGAAAATTTCCCCGAGTTCTCCCACTCGCGAATTGGTCGGGAATTGCAAAGGCTATTGCAATCATGGGTATTTGAACACTCGACATGGTTTCTTGCGAGAAACGAATTCGGTCGTCGTTTTCTCATGGGCGGGGATTCCGTGAACCGGTGCGTCAACCTAGTAGCCTGATCCCCGCCGATGTCTATTGGGTTATCTTCCCCTGTTAGAAATTGTCTTATCTGTTCCCGCGGCGAGGGGTCCAGCCAGGTCAGGGAAGTTCCAAGGAGGAGTCGCCTTCGTCGCCATTTTTGTTCGTTTTTATTTCGTTAGTTCTTTTTACTGTTTTTTCGTATTCGTTTTCTGTAGTGCCTCCACCCTTTCCTCTCCTGACTACGTTCCGTCTCTCTGCAAACTACTTCTCACCCCTAAGAATCTCATTTGCATCTCTCCATTTTTAAAGCAAAGACGTCCCGGAAGGTTTGATCAACCTTGTACATCCTTCACGTTCTTGTCACAAAGTCCTGTTCCCGTGTCGTATGAGCCTTTCTTCACAAAAAGGAGCATTCTTCACAAATTACATAAACTCTATAACGCTCCGGTTCAAAAAGGCCGTTATGCTCGCTGGCAGTAACGGTCAAGCCAAAAGTGTAGGGTTTTTGGTGGATATCCCGTGCGGGTAATGGGATGTCTGCAGTTTTCCCCTTCGTCGCATGCCCGCTAGATTGATATCAGAAGTGTTATTGATTTCAGTTTATTATGTGTAATGCTTGTGGAGAGCATGCCAAATGAAATCATGGACCTTTGCTCTTTTCTTCTCTCTATAAGTCTCCCTGGAGCGCTGGCGTGTCCTTATTGGATCAAGAGAGAGTTTTTACCCTAGCGACTGTCACTCGTTTCTATGCAAATGAAAAAGATGGAAAGTTGAACCTTTTGATCTGCTCTCTTTTGTGTACTTCAATTTTTTTCTGAGGAGTTCATTATTGGATTATTTAAAGAATAGATCGAGTCTCAAAGTGACGCCAAACTAGGAAGAATTTCTTTAAGATCTCAAAACTCCTTTAACATAAAGATGAGAAAATAATGTATTCAAAATAAAGAAGATTTAATGTCAGATATTCTGAAGGAAGGAAAGGTGTATATAATTCTTTAAAAGAAAAAACTAAACTTTTCTAATCATCAAAAAGATACACATACGAGTATAAAGACTTCCGACAAGGAAAAAAAGAACACACAGAGAGTAAAAGAAAATAAACCCACGAAAAAAAGATTTGCATGCAATTTGAAAGTATGGTGATGAGAATGCAATGTACAAACGTGACGTTTTTGTGCACTTTATGTGTAGAGCAGATAAGAAGCCAACAATGGAATAAAAAACAAAACTGTCAATTTTTGAAACAGTAAAACTTATCAGCCTCGACTTACTTTTGATCTGAAGATGTGCGCTAGACATGGCCGTCTCCAGGCCCACTTTGGCAATACAAGTGTAGATGCCGGTGTCTTTTGTTTTCACATTGCGAACTATCAGAGCAAACCTGGAAAAGAAATTACATCATTTAATAGAGTGACAATGACTGATTTACCTAATGAATTTTCTGTTGGTAACACACACACACACACACACACACACACACACACACACACACACACACACAACAACAACAACAACAACAACAACAAAATCATAAAAAGCCTCAACGGTACCCCTGAGACAAACTCGCCAAATGAAGCAATGTCACACAATGGGCGATTGGTGACATCAAGCAAGCATAAGGCGGACATATTCGCAGACCACTACGCGAACGTCTGCAGTCTAAACATGTCGAAAGAAGACAGAGCCGAAAACTGGCAACTCAAACAGCGACTGAAATACTTACGGAACAACCCAAGGGCAGACCAGCCCGATTTCACTATCGGGGAACTGAGGAATGCCATTGCAAAGATGAAGTCCCGCGGATCACCCGGACCAGACAACATCCCCCCGTCCTTCCTCAAAAACCTGGGTCCCAAGGCGCTGAAGAAACTGCTCTCCATCTTCAACATGTCATTTCGCTCAGCTGATGTCCCACAAGTCTGGAAAGACGCCATCATTGTCCCCCTCCTCAAGACCTCCAAACCAGCATCGGAACTAACGTCGTTTAGACCGATAAGCCTCACATCCTGTGTCATCAAAGTTATGGAGAGAATGGTATCTGAACGACTGTACGACATGGCCGAGCGGAACGGCTGGTTCTCCGAACTGCAGGCTGGTTTCAGGAGGGGGAGATGTGTGGAAGACCAAATTCTGAGAATTACGCAGAAGATTTTCGATGGCTTCCAAAAGAAGGAAAAATCGGTACTCGTCCTCCTCGATTTTTCAAAGGCATACGACACGGTCTGGCGAGAAGGCCTACTCATCACCCTCCTGGACAGAGGTATCCCAGATACATACGTTTTATGGCTGAATGACTTCCTTCAAAATCGTCAAGCCAGAGTCCGATTCAATGGAATACTGAGTAATAGCAGGAAAATGAACCAAGGTCTCCCACAAGGTTCGGTCCTGGCACCCATCCTCTTCCTTTTTTATATCGACGAACTGGCGAAACTACTTCCGGACGATCTCACAATTTCACTCTACGCTGACGACGTCTCTATCCTCGCTTCATCACGCACGACACGAGACGCCGAAAGTCTGGCACAAAGAGCGGTGGACATCGTTGCTGACTGGAGCAGGCGATGGAAACTCACGCTAAACGGCTCAAAGAGCGAGACAACATTTTTCACGCTCGCAACATCTGACTCGGAATGGAAGCCGTGCATCACGATAAATAATTCGTCAATTAGGTATGAGCCCTACGCAAGACTCCTGGGAGTCACACTCGACCGCGGGCTCACGTTCAGGAAACAGGTTGAGACAGTAATAGCTAAGGCCACACAGAAGATGAGGATGCTCGGCGCTGTAGCGCACTCAAAATGGGGATGGAGGAAAGACGACCTACGCAAGGTCTACCTCACTCATATACAAAGTGTTCTCAACTTTGCGAGCAGCAGCTGGCAACCGTGGCTGAGCAAAACTCTGATAAATAATCTGGAGGTGATTCAAAACAGAGGCTGCGACTGATTACCACCCAAGCCCAGTCCTCACCGATCGAGGCACTTCGAGCTGAAACGGGGGTCCCAAGCATTCAGTCCACCATAAATGCTAACTGTCTCCGATCAAGAGAGAAGGCCCTCCGACTGAACAACGACCACCCTCGACGAATTGCGGCAACGGAACAAGTGCACAGACGCCTAAAAGGACGCAGGGATTTACGAAAAAGGGCCGAAGACGTCAGCAAAAAGAGCCCACATCTGTTCGACTGCGAGAGGAGGCCCATCACTTACTTCGAAACCAGGCCCTGGGAACGTGGAATCAACCCCGACATCACTTTTCCCCACCTGTACGGCATAAGCGGAAGGAGTGACTCCAGTGGGAAGATTCAAAGCGCTGCTGTTCGTCGAGCACGAGAGCTTGGCGCACAGTACAATATCTACACTGACGGCAGGAACAACGGACGGCGGCGCTGGAGTTGTCATCACAACGGGGAACCCGTCCAACCCTACCGTTGTCGAGACATTGAGGGAGAAAGGCGCCATATTTACGTGCTCTTTCGAGGAAGAAAGGAGAGCCTTGGAAATGGCCATTGACTGGATTGACAAAGAGTGCGATGCATCCAACTCTTCACCGACAGTCAATCACTATGCATGGCACTAGTGGGAACACCACCATCCTTCGACAATTGCGACTACGCATAAATAATGCAATACCTCAACCCACGATTCAGTGGATCCCTGGTCACCGCGATATCCTCGGCAACGATCTCGCTGACAGTAATGCCAAACTGGCAACAGCGCTGCCGGGTCCAGGCCGCCAAATTACTTATGACAGTGCGTGCGCCCAGATAAAACTAATTACAAAAGACCCCCCTATATGCCACACGCGGACGAGGGACGTATACAGGGCATTTTCCTTAAAACGAGAGGCTCTTATTATGTCCCGCAGTGACCAGTCATTACTGGCAAAGATCAGGACCGGTCATTTCTCTGGGCTTCGGGCCTACAAAAATAGAATAGACAAAACATCGGACCCAATATGTCCATTGTGCAGCGAGGAGCCCCAAGATTTGGAGCACTGGCTGCAGAGATGCCCCGCCACGGAGGCCCGGCGGTGGCATCTCTTCGGGGGGGGGGGGGGATTCAGGGAGGTTGGACTGCCTCACCCGCTACCCAAGGGAGGCGGTGGCCCTGGCGAAGAGCACACTCTTCGGGGCTCCGAACATTTCGAACGGATAGGCTACCACACACACACACACACAACAACAACAATAACAACAACAACAACAGATAGTTAGGCACACTAAAAGGCGCAGTATGAGAAGCACAATTTAAATTCATTCAGTTCTTCAATGTTATATTGATGTCAACTGCGAATGACAGAAACCTGACCGACAGTCACAAACCTAGTAGTCTGCTTTCTTAAAATGTGCACACCATGTGAAAATTGCTTGATAATTTAATATATTTTCACCGGGTATAATTTGGTTGATTTTGTATACTGTATAAAATATGGCACTTGATGATAATTTACCCCTCTCTCGTTCAAGATTCCAAGGTTACTACATTTTAGCGTTCTTGGCGCTTTAAAAGTACCTTCTTTAACACTTGAAGGAAAATTACTGTCACTCGCTGTTTGTTGTTTTCTCTTATTGTAGCTGGGGTTTAAAAAAATTTTGTTTTGGGTGTGTGGTTTTTTTTTTTTTTGGGGGGGGGGTGAGTTGTTCTTATAAACGTTTTACGGCACTTGAAACACAATAAAGTCATACAAGTGTCGAAAATTAGAGGTATTACAAAAGAACAACAAATGCAAAAAAGAGGAGGAGAGATAAGGACACTAGATGTTTGATAGGAAGAAAAGAGCAAACCATATCTGAACATCCGCCAACCACCCGCACCCATTGGGCAAATCTTTAAATAAATAAATAAATAAATAAATAAATAAATAAATAAATAAATAAATAAATAAATAAATAACGTCTTTATTTCTGTTTAGAGCTATATGAAGGTCAAAGGGGAAAAAGTGATGCGCGCTGTCGACTATAGCGAGACTAAGTGTTTTGTTCTTCATTTGGGCGCACATTGGGTGCACACTTTGCAGCGAGGTTGTCATTGATTGCAAAGAGCAGTGTCCATGACAGCGCATGGTTTGGGATATCATAACAAATGTCTATGATGTCTGCACTTTTTCTCCCTCTTCGGATGACTTATCAGTTAGACCTTTGATAGCAAGACGGACGAGTGGTCAAATAATGATAATTGAGTTTCATAATTCCATTGCATTAGTTCGCTAAGGGCGTTATATACACAGTATATTATTATACATGATTTGCTGCAGATCAAAAGCAATGTAGCGGCGCATTTCGAACCTTCATGCACAAATCAAAAACACTCATTTGATGATTCATTTCAAATATTTATGTTGTTATCTGCCCTTTCAAGTTTCAGAAAAAGAAAAGCAGCATTGAATACTTTTCACATGAATATTAAATTTATTCATGCTCATTTAATAAGTGCCCTAAACGCGGTGTCTTCAAACGTTGTCAAATGATCAGAATGTGGGATAAAATGAGATAAAAGCCGAACGAAAAACTTTGGTGGTGGCAAAGTCCAATTGTCGCAGATGCAGCTTCAATCAGACCACGCAAACTTAAAAACCTAACAAAGTGAATGGACAATGTTAAAGAAATAGCACGTCACGTGTCTCAGAAGCTTCCTCTTTGGAAACAACCCAACTGCGATTATGCATAAAATGCTGACTGCACTTTTATGCACAATATGCAGACTACAGTTTCTCGCAATAATTTGTTAAAAAAGAGCCATGCCCACATGTCTGTAAAATTTTAAGAGATATTAAACGTCTGCCGCTTTTTCGCCGATGCGGACGGGAAAGGATGTAAATTTAATTTCTTTAGGGATCAGTCTTTTGACGTGCATCGGAAGGAAGTTCTGTGTTTTCAAAAAAAGAAAAAAATCAATTTTCCATAGAAATAATGAAAGGCAGTTGAAAGAAGGAAGTCAAGCCAGCCATGGGGCTCAGCCTGTGCAATTGTGTGCACTGCCACACACTTAAGTGTAAAGGTCATAAAAGTGAATCAGCTGTTTGCACATTACGCTGAATCTCTGGAATAGATTTGAGACCATAACACAGATGGGCACAACCGCTTTGAGGGCAAGGGTAGGGAGTGGGTGGATGGGTGGGAGCGTGTCAAGACGAATACTATTTTGAATTCGAGTTTGAAAGGAGGAAGTACGTGCACATGCGGGGAGTTAATAGGGTATGTTTTGTTTCCTTTTGAGCTGCCCACTTCATACAAATACAGAACTGTGCTTGTTTTAGTTGTTCACGTTGTAATAAACTAGAAATACTCCCTCGCACTTAAGTGCAATAAATAAAAACAAACACGCACACCCATGCACACACACACAAACAGACACACACACACACACACACACACACACACACACACACACACACACACACACACACACACACACACACAAACATACACATACACGTACACGCACACACATACATAGTCACATACTCACACGCAGATAGAAAGAGACGAGAGAGAGAGAGAGAGAGAGAGAGAGAGAGAGAGAGAGAGAGAGAGAGAGAGAGAGAGAGAGAGAGAGAGAGAGAGAGAGAGAGAGAGAGAGAGAGAGAGAGAGAGAGAGAGAGAGAGAGAGAGAGAGGGGTGTGAACAAAGATCAACTTAGAATAAATTCACACGATTTCAGGAGATATAAACACCACCACCACCAACAACAACAAAAACGATATCACCAACAGCAACTTTTGCTTCTACAAGCAGACATTTTTGTCAGAAGTGCTGTCTCATCACATTTTCTCAAACTTCTCTCACCTGGTTCCCTCATTCTTGAACACCATCCGGCCGGACTCCTCTGGTTTGAGGAACTGTCCGTTGGCCTTCCAGATGACCTGGAGCCTCTTCTCATCCAGGTGGTGCACGTCCACTTTACAGACGAACTTGGCTCGCTCTCCTTCCCCCAGCACCACATTGCGAAGTTCTTCCGTGATACTCACATACCCTGTATGGACAAAACAGTGTATGGTTAAAAGAAGTGTAATATAGAAGTAAAATATTTGTAATAATAATAATTATAAAAACATTTGTAGGTGTTGATGTTGTTTTGGTTATTTTTGCTGTTGTTGTTGTTGTTGTTGTTGTTGTTGTTTTCAACGATGATGATAATGTTTCTGTTATTGTTGCTGCTGTTGTTGTTGAACAATAAACATTTTTACACAGTTTAGGATTCGAACTCCCAACTTCAGCAAAGTTTGTTATCACGTCCGTCTCAGTTGGAGGTCAGAATCAGAAAAAGGATAGAGAGAAAAAGTGGAATACTATGCAGAGGGATGGAGAATGAAAGGGGGGGGGGGCAAAGAGGTAGAGCGAGCATGAGACTGAAGCAAAATGAGACAGAGGCAGAGAATGAGAATGAGGCAAACAGAGATACAAAGGGTGTACAGTTAGAGAAAAAGTGAAACAGACGCAAATAAACGGGCAAACAAGGGAGGATTAAAAGGACTAGTGAGGAAAAGATTTCCTTCCACTTTAAAACACCCGTATGTAACATAAACTGTGTTTTGACTTCTCACGATCTTCAAAAACATGAAAGATCTAACATATTCACAGTGACTCTTAAAAACACTTTGAAAACCCACTCAACGATCCCTGGAGAGATATTTTGGATGTATATTGATGAGGTAATTCAAACAGGACTCAAAGACGCAAGCACCAAAACCGATGTTGTCTCATCCAGCGAACAACTTTAATTTCATTTGGGCTTTTGGACCTATTGTTTCAGTGAACTTGCAGCTAACCGACTCTTTCAGGGCTGAATACACAAGCTATTCAGGACTCATGGTTGTCATCAACTCTCAGTGTGTACCCTATTGCCGTGAGGCGGGGCATTCGGCCATGACTGACCAACACCATTAAAGTATCAGCGATCTGCCTGTGCCCTGACTGGACTGCATTATCTTGCCAATCCAAGGTCTGTCAGACACTCTATCACTCCCCCCCTCTCTCTCTCTCTTTCTCTCTCTCTCTCTCTCTCTCTCTCTCTCTCTCTCTCTCTCTTTGTGTTCTTGCAGCCGCGTGGCGTTTTGACATGGCCATATGACGAGGATGATGATGCGTCTGTGCTCACGCATGGATGCCCAGACAATAGTTGTCTCCTCTCCCATTGTTTTCCCCTTCTCGTTTGCTTGGTTTTTATGTCGAAAAGAAGCGATGGTTTACAGACTGGCGCGTGATCTTGTTCTCCTCCTTGTCTTTCTCCCCACACCGGCACCAGGTCAGTGGGTTGCAAGACTGCGCCAGTCTGAGACAAGAGAGAGTGAGAGAGAGAAAAAGAAAAAGTGAGAGAAAGAAAAAGTGAGAGACAGTGTGTGTGTGTGTATATTGTGTGTGTGTCCGTGTGTGTGTGTTTATGTGTGTTATCTGTGTTGTCTGTGTGTTGTTTTATGTGTGTCTATGAGAGAGAGTGTGTGTGTGTGGGGG